AAATAGATAAGGTCCAAAGAGACTTCCTCTGGGGAACTACATCTGAAAAAAAGAGAATGCACTTAATAGGCTGGAACGTGGTTACATTACCAAAGGACATGGGGGGGCTAGGTATTAGAAAGGCAAAGTCTAAAAATTTTTCCCTTCTGACAAGCCTTGTTTGGAGGATTCTTAATGAACCATCATATCTTTGGGCACGAGTCATTACTAGCCTATATAGCTATACTAAGTCCACCAAGGGGGGTTCCAATACTTGGAAAAGCCTCCTAAAGGGGTGGAATTATTGTCAACAAGGTATAAGATGGCCTGTGAATATTCACACTGACATGTCTATATGGGACACCAACTGGATCCCTATTTATGGAAAAGGAAAAATTTAGTAGGCCCCTCACAAATAAGGAGATTGGATTAAAAATAAAAGACATCCTAATAAATAATAGATGGGATCTAGCACATATCTCCTTCGAACTACCCCACAATGTTATGAATAGTATTCACTCACTGACCGCAACCTCCACACACTCTAGCAAGCTTATATGGAGTACAAATCCTAGTGGGATATTCACAACTTCATCATGCTACAAATTAATTGACACACAATCTCATACAAGTAAAGATTTTGCATGGATATGGGGCATGAGATGCCCTAGGAAAATCAAATTTTTTATGTGGAAATGTTACCACTCAAGACTTCCTACCAGGGACTACCTAGGAAAAATTGGTATCAACATTGATACAACATGCCCAATTTGCAAAGATAGGAGTGAATCCCTACTTCATATATTTTGGGAATGTAAGGTGGCAAAATATTTTTGGGAATCTATAGGAATATTTTTTTCTAACCCTATGCCACACGAGCACTGGGTTGATTTCCTAAGGAAAAAAACACCTCATATACCAACTAATTTCATCACATGGGAAGATGTTTTTCCGTTTGCACTTTGGTCTATTTGGAAAAACAGGAACGAAAACAATGTAAATAATACCAACCTTACTATTAACACCACTAAAGTGTTTCAGCAAACACTGAAATATCATTTGCTCACATCCAAACATACTACTAGTAATATTCCCATAAAGGTGAAGGTAAAATGGCATCCGCCTCCTAGGAATTGGTACAAGGTCAACTTTGATGGTGCGTTCAACAATGAATGCCTACATGGAGGAATCGGTGGAATCATACACAACAACAAAGGAGAGTGGATGTTGAGTTACTATGAAAAGTGTCAAATTATATCACCTATCCATGCAGAACTTCTAGCTCTTCTACAGGCACTTCAAACAATTATCAGGGAAAAGGTCACACCATGTGAACTAGAGACAGATGCCACAGAGGTGATTCGTTTTTTAGAAGAGGATTATCCTACTTACAGCAATTTAATTTATGAATGCAGGTGCTTAGTGGGGAAGGAAATGGAGCAGGGGGAGATCATAATGAAGCACAATTTCCGTGAAGGAAATATGGTGGCACACAAGATGGCCAAGGAAGCTCTAAAGTACCCTAGTTATAATAAAACCCTTTATTTTGCTACACCCCCTAACTTTGCAATAGATGTGTATTGTAAGGATCAGGAAGGTTGTAACTACTTCCGTTCATGTAGTATGTATGCATGCAACACTCTAACATCTTTAGGTAATGACAATGCCCTAAATGGCATGGCACATTATGTACTAATGGCATCTCTATGGGTCTTGTACCCTAGTACAATGCATATTTTATTAATATTAATATAAGTATCTTTTCCCTTAAAAAAAAAAAGAAGTAACAGAGCAATGCGTTGTTATATTTTATGATAATGTGCAATTGTTTGGATGGTGGAGCTGGGCGTAGGAAAGAGGTAGAATGAAAAAGTAAGGTGGGTCAAGCATTTTTTGTGTTTAGCCAATGTAATAAGTTTTTGACTATAACTTGCAATCAAATTAATGGGCTAGTGTTTGTCTTAATTTAGTGCCGAACGACCATAAATGAATTTTGCTCTTTTCTAGAGTTCTTGTTGTTGATTGAGATTTGGTGTCTAAGGTTTAATTTTTAGGGGAAAGAGACCAATATCTTTTTTCTAATGTTCTTTTTTAACGATATGTCATTGTATGGGTCAAAATCTGACCATCGGATGGTTATCATTAAAGGGAATGGTAAGGGGTCGACCAAGCAGATGGTTGTCACTGCATCTGCGGATGGAATGCATCGGCTCCTGATCCCTTTTTCCAACTCTTCCTTAATGGATTGGGTGCCACTACCCGCCCTGAGCCGATCGTGCATCTCACGGCATCTGTTGTGATACCGCCGATACTTTTCAAGCATCTTCAGGAAAATCTCGGCCCGAGTCTCAGCCCAGCGAGCACTCTCGATCTCCAGCATGTAAGACTAAGAACAAAGAGAAGAAAGGAGTCGGTAAAGACCAAGGTCACAAAGCAAAAAAAAAAGGGAAGCTTACCCTCAGGCCCATCGCAGCCATTCCACGTGACAATCTGGCGTCGCTGACATCCTGAAGAGCTCCACTTTCTGTGGCAGAGCATAGAAGGTCAAACTGCGGCAGAAAATTCACTCTGTCTCGCAGAAGGTTGAGATCCGACGGAATTTTGAGTATTCGGGAAGGGCCTCCCGCTCTCACTACAGTTCGGGTAAAACCCTCCTCGAACATCCTAACGTCATCAGGATCGATTTCGGATTCAGACTCGTAGTCATCAACCATGACGCCTTTTCCCCTCTCTTCAATCGAAGAAGGAGTGCGGTTCGGCCAGGATGTCGAAGGGCCGTCTATTACAGCAACGGCAGCCTCGGACTCCATCTCTCTGCCACACCAGCCTGTTGGCCGCTTACAACGGGCATAGCCTCTGCGGCCGGGTTGGCACCACTACCGGCTTCGGGCACCGCCAAGCCAAGGTCGCCCCTCGAAGATGTTTCGGCTTGAGGAGCCACTTCCAACAACAGCCGTCGTCTCTTAGATGGGGCCTCTCCACTAACGGCGCGGGAAGATTCGCCCATTGAACGGACAGCAGGAACCGGAGTTTCTAACTGAGGAGTAGTCTCCGCACGTACGGCTTCGGCCGCAGGCGCAGATTGGGCAATAGCCCTCGACGCAGACCGGGCAAGGGGCGCCGGTTGACAGAGTGCGAGTGGAGGAGCCCTCGTCCTTTGCACTCTCCCTACAACAAAGAAAACGATTATATAACGACAGGAATAAACCATGAGGCAAAGAGTAAAGAAAATTTATAGCGGGCCGACCCACTAGTAGAGGCTTACGCCCATATTTCTCATGGAAGGACGCCCACTCACGAATCCCCGTTGTATGGGGAAGAATTACGCTCACCCACTCGTGGATATCGTCAACTAGCGTGGGAGGTAGTCTCTCGGCTGCAAAAGCAAAAACAAGTTCTTAGCTATATCACCTAAAGGAGAACCATCGAAGACCGCCTTAAAAGGAATCACAAAATGAACAAAGGAAAACTCACGAGCAAAGTTCCACGTCTCTAAAAACCCAGCGGAGTCCGCCACAAGGTGCTCTGTCCGCACATAGAAGTGGCTTTCCCAAAAGCGGCGATTAGCCTTATCGTCCATCTTCACCACCAAACTCTTGGTTCCTCGATGGCGCATATGGATCATTGTACCCCGAAGTAAATGAGGGGGAAAGATGTAAAGCATGTGCCCCAAGAAAATTCCTCGTCCGGCAAGCTCCGCGTACTTGATAAGCATGAGGAAGAGTTTATACGCGTACGGAGAGAGTTGAGACGGGCATACTTCGTAGAGGTGGCAAAAGTCTACCACCAGAGAGGGGAGAGGAAGCGTGTACCCAATAACAAAGGGGTATGCGTAAAATGCGCAGTATCTCGGCCGGTGCAAATGTACAATGTCCTTCTCCGCTGCCGGTACCATTTTGATACGAGCGGGGATTCCCCACTTGGCCTTGAGCGCTGCAATCACCGCTTCATCCATGGTGGAAGGGACAGGTTCCGGTTCGTTTCCAGCAAGACTGTTAAAGTCAGTCCTCATCTTCCCGGGGCGGGGTACTATCTCATCCACTGTCGGAAATCCCTCGTCTTCCACCACTTCCACTCCCTCTTCAAGAAGGGGCACGTCATTTTGCGGCACCGGAGCTTCAACAAATCTATCAGTCTGGGAAGAAGTACTATCCATTTGTCTGTCTTGATCAAAATAAACAGGAATGATGAAAGAAAAGAGATGATGGTCGCGTCCAATTCCGACGAAAGCAGAAGTATGAAAAAATGAAGAAGGTGGGAGTTTGTAAAATTCTCTCACGTAAATTGGAAAGCATGACAATCGAATGGGGATTCCACCTATTTATAAGAACGCAAATGCCCTGATCGGGAAACCTGAGAACCACCAATAAAGAACTGAAAGGGCACGGGAAACGACACGGGGCCTAGGAAACGTGCGCCATAATGACACATAACAGGTATTCGTGGTACCCTGAATCGATGTGACGATCCATCTCTGAACCGACGTAACGGCCCAATAAAGTCCTTGAAGCGTCACGTCGCCACCTCGCCATAAGGACCTCGTCCCTCGCACCATGTCCAGATTTCTCCTAATTCTTGAATCAACAGAATCTGCCCATTGAGCTCGCCAAAAGGTGACCTCAACGGGTGAAGGGACTAACAATATGGGTCAAAATATAACCATCAGATGGTTATCATTAAAGGGAATGGTAAGGGATCGACCAAGCCATGGTCGTGCCCACGAGGCGTAATGGCGACGAGTATCTCGGTCATTTCCGAGATCGAGTCATCAGAAGGATTACACAGCAGAACATAATACTGGGGCGAGTGAGGAAGAATGCAGTCATGAGAGGGGACGCTGGTTAAGGACCGTTGGGTAAAAGGGGAAATTGACAATATATATAAGGAGGGTAAAGCAGGAAGGAGAGGATACGGGAGAGACCTCCAAGGAACAAAGGAAGAAGTCTAGATTTTGGGTTACAAACCTTTGTAATCTCCATTGTTCAATCAATAAAGCTAGATCTCATAGTTATCAACGAGATTCCTTCCTTATTTTCTTTGCTTTTACAAATACGGAACAATATTTCAAAGATGTAAGCTCATTACTTACATTTAATGTCTTTCAATCATCCTAAGAAATGTTGTATAAACTCGATCTCTCTGATTTTAGTGTGCGTTATGCTTAGATCTAAAGCCGATTATGTTTGACTAAGATTTACCCTCTATTTTATCATTAATTGGTTTGAAGGCTTAACACTTTTTGGTCAAACAATTATTTCTTTTTTTTACTATTTGTATTTCTATTTTTCTCTCTTGGAAAATTTAAAGAAGATTAATTTTTATGTTTTGCAAAGAAATAAAGAAGCGAGCTTGCACATCATACAATAAATAAAAAATAACATGGCGCAAATCACAAAAAGGCATACGTTAGAGATGCAAAACGTAACAGAGCGGAAATATGATGATTGTTGCATTTAAGAAAATCTTTTTTCCATTTCTCTTATTTTAAAATATATTTGTTCCTTTTCTTTTAAATACCGTTTTTTGGGTGCTATAGTATAGATATATCACTCAAATTTTAAAAATGTAAAATAGTATTTTCCCTTTTCAGAATTAAGCACAAGAACCATGAAGGTAGTAGGAACCTTTAAGTACGTGGAATGGCAGCTCAATAGGAGTAGTATTTTAGTCAAAAGAAGTGACCACAAAACATCTATAGTTAACCATCTTTATTGACAGACGGTGACCTAAGTACGAGACTGTTAATACTTGGGAAACACTTATATTACCAACAAAGAACTAAAGATATTCTTAAATTTGACCAACCACCTTTTAATCTTTTAAAAATTTAAGATCGCAAAATAGTTTAATGTCATAAACCTCAACGCATAAGGTACAATCTATGTTACCAAAAGCAAACTAATGATTTCTTAAAGTTGACCAGCCACCTTATTATCTTCTGAAAATTTAAAATTCCAAAACATTTTGATGCCTTTAACCTCAATGCACAACGTACAACATTTCCAAAGCACACACTACAATAATTTAGAAAATAAAATCTACTTTGCCTCATCAAACTCTGTTAGTATATCCTTGTCATTAACCTACCATGTCTTTTTCAGACAATTAAAAGAAGATTCTACATTTGAAAATTCCAAATTCCAATTAGGCAAAACAATCCTCTTTTTCTCATTTTACCCCTCCCCTTGACTTTGTCATCTCCTTCACAACTTACCCACCCCCCCCCCCCCCCCAACAACCAACATTGTGTTTGTCATCACCCCCTTCCTCATGTTACTTCCTAGCAGTTACCCCCTTCACTCCACTCTCTCACGCACAAATCTTAAACTGAATTTTCAGGACCCCTAAAACCTCATATATACAAGCTCATTTTGTTGTGTGTTTGAAACTTTTGCAAGGAAATGGGTAATCAGTGTGCTAGACCCCAAAACAAGACCCCACCATCTTCTCCTCCGGCGCCGGCAGGTTTATCGGC